CAAATGTCATCTACACTTGTACGCAACTGGCTTTAGTTAGTTTAGGCGTCTAGCCAAATTTGGGGGCCAGGCTTGGCTCGGGCTTTCTCACACACCATGTCTGACCTCAGCCCGCACCGCAGCCGGCGTTAGCTCTCGCGAGCTTTTTGATCCACCATGACATGCCGGATCCTCAGACGATAACGAACATTGCAACATGTAAACTGTCCAGGAGCGAAAGAGATGGGTTGTCGATGTTGGTGTGTGCGAACAATATGAATATCGACATCGTCTCGTGCCAGGTTCTACCACGCAGAAGACGTGACAAAGCCACATCGCAATCAATCTGTATTCTTACTTACTTTTTGTTCCTTCAATCCCAACCACCCTATCCAATTAGCCTCGCCGTTTCAACCGTCGGCGTGCGGCGCACGTCAGAAATGCTTCGCCCTGGGCTGAGGCTCAGCCCGACTAGTTTAAGGTCCCACTCACACAGGGGCCTAACCGTCATCCTACAAACATCCCTGCATATGTATATATCTTGATCGAGTCTCGCAAAACACAAACCAGTCCAGCAAAAAGCTACAACGTTACGTTGTTCCCGTTCAGAAAAAAATCTCCCCCACACGGTCGCCGTTCACATCAACATGAGTGACGACGACAGAATATCATCCGGGCTCGCTCAAACCAGTCGCGCCGGCGCCCAAGCGACCAGCAGACCGGCGGCTCTACCGTCCAGTTTACCCTCAGACGTCGTCGCGTCCGAACTTTCTTCTTTTGCTCCTTCTTCCATCGCGTCCGGGATTCCCTCGGCCGCTTCATCTGCCTTCCCCACCGGCACAAACGTCGCCATTCCCGACAACCCCGTCTGGAAGGCCGACAATTTCTCCACCAAAGAAGCTGTTTTGACGTACACCGTGTTGAATTCCAGCGTCACGGGATGTTACGCGCAAAATGGTGCCATGCCGATCCTGTTGGCCGAGGGCGATAAGTGTAACAAAGGCTTCTATTGCAAGAATAGTACAGATCTCATGCCGCCACAGTAAGTGATTTTTCAACGTCAACTATGCACATGGTGATTAGAGTTGGGGGAGACGGTTTTTTTTTTTTTCTTTCTCGTCGCTGTAAATGTGACGTGAACCTTGCCAAGAGAATCGCTGACGATGGGAATTTGTAGATTTTGCCCGCCGAGTCTGGAGTGTCAGGCGACGAGATCAAATAAGGGGACTTGCGTGTCACAGGGGGTTTTGGAGCCCCTCGTATGTACTGCTGGGCATTATTGTCCCGAGGGAGGGAAGCAGATGATACCGTGCGAGAAGGGTATGCGATAACACTATTCAAATCGGTACACAGTAAACGCACTTGCTGACATTCACGCGCAGGAACGTTTTGCCCCGTGGGAAGTTATAAGCCGTGGCCATGCCAATTTGGCGCCATATGTAGGTTATTCTTTTGGGGATGCCATATCGAATTTACTTACTAACCACAAAAGGCCCCGCCAAATCCCAGCGACAGATCGTAACCCTGCCCTTCGGCGTCATGATCGCCTTCGACATCCTCGTCGGCATCATCGTCGCAGCGGGTTTCTTCATTTCGGCGCGCAGAAAACGCAAGCGAAAAGACTACCTCCTTGCCAACACACACAAGAACCTCGAAGCCGACGACGACGACATCGAACTCATCCCAAAGGGCAATCACCATCACCACCGATCGGACGGCGCATCCTCCCCGGCGCTCTTCGACGACGAACTCGACTCCAACCCCGACTTCAAGGTCTTCATGCACTATGTCTCGCGCCTGATCAAAACCAAGAATGTTGGTCTCTCCTTCGACTTCGAGAACCTGGAATTCGAGCCGCAAAAGGGCAAAAAGATCCTCCAGGGCGTGACCGGTAGCATCAAGAGCGGCTCCATGTGGGCCGTCATGGGCGGCAGCGGCGCGGGCAAATCCACCTTCTTCAACGTCCTCATGGGCAAAACGCGGAATACGGGTGGCGAGATCAAGATCAACGGCCGCTCAAAGGACATGACCAAGTACAAGAAACTGATCGGTTACGTGCCGCAGGATGATATCGTGATCCCGGAATTGACCGTCCGCGAGAATATCCTGCATTCGGCGCGGGTGAGGTTGCCCATGACGTGGAAAGATAAGGATATCCAGGCGTACGTCGATTCGCTGATTTCGTGCATCGGATTGAGCCATGTCCAGCACTCGCTCGTCGGCGACGCGGTACGGCCGGTGGTGTCTGGTGGACAGCGGAAGCGCGTGAGTATCGGCATGGAGCTTGCGGCGGCGCCAATGTGTATTTTCCTCGACGAACCGACTTCAGGTCTAGATTCGACATCCGCCTCGTCCATCATGCGGCTGCTGAAGGCAATTTCCAAGTTGGGGGTTACGACGATTACGATTATCCATCAGCCGCGCGAGCAGATCTTCGTCGGATTCGACAACATTATGCTGCTTGGGAATGGAAGCATGATTTACGCTGGACCGACGACTGAGACGTCTCATTATTTCAACACTCTGGGCTTCACATTCCCGATGCGCGAAAACCCGGCCGATGTCATCATGGATATCATCACGGGCCATGGCCAACAGTATACGCAGGATGCTGTGTGGATGACGGACTCGGTCAACAAGCTCGTCGACCAATGGGGGATCCAAAGTATGCGCATGCCATCACTGAGCTATCACCCAGACGCGCGCGCGTCCGTGATGTCAACAACCTCCATGTCTGCCATCTCGACTCCAGAGCAGGAGGAGTTTCTCAAGGAGACCATGAAGAAACGTGGCGCGTCCTGGCCAGCCCAAGCATACTACTGCTGTAAACGAAGCATCACGCAGCAAGTCCGCACAAAGGGGAGCTTCTTCTTCGAGATCGGCATCGGCGCGCTCGCCGGCGGCATCATTGGACTTTCTGCGGCCGCGGCTAATGGACAGCTGTTCCGCGGTCTGTACCAGGGGACCTTTTCGATCCTATCGCCTGCCGTCGATAACCAGTCCGTTCCTCAGGTCGGTCTCCTGGGTGGTATGGCCATCGGTCTTGCGGCTTCAGCACCCGCGGTGCGTGTCTTTGGCGAGGAAAAGATGATTTTCAACCGTGAGGCGGCGTCGGGCCATAGTTCGAGCGCGTACTACGTCGGCAAGATGTTGTCGGTCTTGCCCCGTATGTTCCTCTCCAGCTTGCATTATGCCGTCTTTCTGGGTATCCTCGCGACCCCGCTCATGGCTTGGACAGACATGTTCCTTGCGATTTTTCTCTATTTCTTCTGCGTGTACGGACTTGCGTCGTGCGTTGGGATGGTGGTGAAGCGCGAGGATGGTCCGCTGCTTGCCGTGATGGCGAGTTTGATCATCGGAATCTTGGGTGGTGTCGCGCCGCCGTTGAGCAAGGTGAAGGTTTGGAAACTCGAGTGGTTGTGGAGGATGAGCCCGGGCGTGTGGTTTACGGAGGCATTTGTCAGTCAATGCTTGGTGCCCCTGGACTATTTGTACGTGTTGGAGGCCGCAAGTAAAGCCATGGGATTCAAGCTCAGGCAATTTGGTCTGGACATGGGGTGAGTGCTTTTCCTTTCTTTATTTGCTGCCGACCGCTAACCGTTTGTAGAATGCTGTTTTTGATTGGATGTGTGTATCGCCTGATCGCATATATACTGCTGGTAACGGTACAGCGAAAGCGCTAGATGGAGCAGTCTTGGTTCCGTACGCGTGTGCCAAATGATTCCCTCACCACGAATATACTCGGTCCAGATCGCACTCGCTCAAGCACCCCCAGCCGTTTTCTTGCTCGCATTCCGCTCATCCATTCGTCTCTGCACGCTGTCTGCCCCAATATGTGCGTACGGGCACTGTCCCTCGGGTCGATGACAAGCTCCTGTTTTCAAAAACGGCGTGCAAATTGACGGAATGTGCGCGACGAGCTTTTTCTCCTCATCAATATGGATCGGATGCACTTCGGTGCACAACTAGCCACAGAATATCAGCGTGAAGCTCAACCACAATCCCTGGTGCGACGTACCTCCTCGCCTTTCCTCCGAAGCCATCCACGGCAAATATGAAAGACGGCGTGGCAGCTCTTATCGCGCTTGCAGCTATGCTCTGAGTAGACGTGACCAAGCATATCTCGGAGGCAAACTGCATCAAGGGCCGTCAGCGCCGCTTGCTCGTTCCACCACGCGCGCACCCATGGCTCCTTGTGGTCCTTGGTGGGAAGCTCGCCGACATCGTCTCCGTCAACGGGCTTGGGAGGATAGTTGGCCGAGGCGTCACCTGAGGGTTGGAAGGTGTTGCGATCCGCATTTTTGGCTGACAATTCTGCGCGAGGTTGGGCGTCTGGCGGCGGCATGGTAGTGGGTAGGCAAGTCGTTGTGCTTATGAGTACGCCAGGCGGGTAGCAGGGTATTGGCGGTGAGCGCAGAAACGGGGTGTAGAGTCAAGTTGATGGCGCGCGGTAGGACGACGATCAAGGGAAAAAGAAAGAAGAAACTCTGGGCCACGGCGGAGAAAGGTGGTGTGTGGTGAGGGAGAGCGCAAGATTGGTATGACACAATCGTCCTGAGAAGGAAAGAGCGTGAGGAAGGCGCGACGACATGAATTCAACCACTCCCCCCTTCACCAACATGGAACAAAATTCTTCCAATTTACACATGTACATACATATTGATACGACTTTAATGTTTATGTGGAGGAATCTAATGTCTTTAATTGACATCATTATTTCATATAAATTCATTTCATGCTGAGAATTGCCAACTCCTGCCCGCTTTAGTCAAAACCGTCATCGTGTGTTCAAACGTCGTACGTAGTACATGTATACTTACACACTACACCGCCTCATAAAAAAAAACAAGGAATTTTGGACCCTTGTAACCCTAAACCCCCGCCCATGGTACCATCTCTACCTGATTCCTCACACCTCTCATCCCGCAACTTTCTATCCCTTCATACGTATCACGCGTGCATCCTGGAATATCACACTACATATATTTTGTCAAAGTTGGGAAATGGCATCGATTCACGTAGGGCTGGTAGTTCAGTGGTAGAACACCGGGTTGGCGAACGCTTGGTGTCATTCTAGGCGCCCATTTTCGTTTCTTTCTTCCCGGAGACCTGGCGTTCGATTCCCAGCTGGCCGATTTTTTTTTAGCTTGGTTTTTGTTTTTTGGTCATTTTTTACGGAGGGGGGGGGGGGATTTGATGGCCTAACTAGGATGGGAAGAGAGAGAGAGGTGCGTTTTAATACGCGGAGTATATATTCAACACGAGTTTTCTAGAGGGGTGGTAGGAGTAAGCCACATGGTGTTGCATATTCGACAGTTTGTTCCTCAACGGCTCCCAGAATCCTGTACTCAACACCAAATGAAACTTTTCTCTTCTTTTGGTCAACTGGAAACAATACACCATTACCACCACCACTGCCCGTGACTAATAAGGAAAATAAGCAAATAGTTCAAAATCATACACACACACACACACACACACACACAAAAAGAAAAGAAAGAGAAAGAAGAGCCAGCCGGGAATCGAACCACGGGTTTCTCGCCACTCTACCTACTAGCCTCCGGATCCCTTGGGTGAGGGACCACAGAAGCGGTTCGGTAGGGAGACGAGCGTTCTGCCACTAGACTACCAGCTCTGTTGATGATATGTCGGGGATTTGTAGTTTGGAAGTTTATATATTCTGGTGCGCGTGGAAGGGAAGATGTGTGTGGTGGTTGTTTGCTGGATTGTTTGTGTGCGGGAAAAGATGCTTTGGTATTGCATTTTCGAATGTCTGTAGCGAGGAAGAAAGGGGTTCGATTGTGATGCTGTATAGAATCATCGGATGAATTGAATATGTCAACGAGGTAGGATCTTCACTCAATCTTTCCCTCCTATCGAGATATCAAGCATTTCGTTTCTCGCCTCCTTGTGTTGGCGATCGGTCGTTGGGTTAGACTCTCGTCTATCCATGGCGTTGGAGAGAGTGCACTGTAGTGCGGCGAAAAAGTTGGGGGATAGGTATAATGAAGTACGGAGCCGGCAGAGTGGTAATTGAGAGTAGTGCATATATCGTAGCGAATTTATAGGTTGACCATAGGCTGTGTTGCAGACCTCCTGCATGCTCAAGTTCACTGGTCGAGCAAGTCATGGATCACTCCGCAAAAAAATAACGACAGTAACGTGAGAAGGTAGCCGCCTTGCCTCTATTGCTGTGTTGAAGTCTCCTTCGGTGGCTTTGGGCGCTTATTGGTGCTGCACCGTCTGCTTAGTCACGGTGCATGTTCGTCCAGAAGGTACGTTCTGAAGGAAGTCGCGTAAAGTAGGAAAGAGCGCCTTCCACAAGCGTAGACCGAGTACGTGTCCACCACCAGCACTCTTTATTTGATCTTATACCTCTTGTTCGTCCACTATTTATATTAATTCAAGGTGGGTTATACCATAGATCAAAAAGAGCCGGTAGTTCAGTGGTAGAATACCTGCCATGTCTGGCCATGAGTTTGTCGTGACATCGGCGGGAGACCTATGGTTCGATTCCTAGCTGGCTTAATTTCTTATCTTCTCTTTTTTTTTTGTACATGTCCTAAGTGCATGTTGCCAACGATTCTGCTTGACAAACGCCGGTCCGGACTGGTCTTTCACATGGGACGCTTTTTTTTTTTTTCACTACCTTCATTTATTTACGAGACGAAAGGTTGTCGAAAATAGTAAGTGCTGTTGCGCAACTTCACCTTTTAGATGTCATCCCAACTTATCCGACTGAAATGGGTGAATACAAAGGATTCGCGGTGTGCAACCTGAGTGTGTAGAAGTGATTCCTTATTATTTCCGACCGCCTAGTGAATGCTTCCCTTTTCAATTGACACCCATCCGTTTCATTATCGATAGCCCACTCCATTAACTATGACGATCGGTTCGACATTCCGTTCTAAGCCTGTGGACGTTGGTCTTGTAATTTCGTTCCTCACCGCTTGTTGCGTTTTTTCACTTGCTGTCCGTTTTCTTTTATCTATGCCTTCTCGACAGACAGACCAACTTGACCGCATTTTGAAACCGCCTTTTTTTCGATTTTCTTTTTTCGATTAACACCTATCTGCTCGTTATCGATAGGTCCATCAATGAAATATTTCATTTTTGGTGATCGCTTCCACCTTCCATTTTGGGCGTGGGGAAGCTACAAATGTAGAGGCTGGTCTTTCACCGCTTGCTATTTTTCACTTGTTCCTTTTTTCTTCCCTCTTCACCACCCCCCCCCCCCCAACGGATAGATCAACTTGCCGAAATCTTGGAAGCCACTCTCATTACGCCCAGAGCCCACATCACACTGTGAAAAATGCCGAATAACTTTCCTCTACAGATCCAGGACCTGGCTTTCAACGTTCGGGGACATGCTCTGCGGCTGCCCAACAATGTCCCAGCCGTTCCCACCTACGTCCACGCAAAAAAAGGGAGCACCTTTCCCTACACCAATATGATCGACAGTCCTCGCTCCACAATTGAATTCAACGAGAAAGAATTGCAGGATCGGGCACCCTTTTCTTGTGACAAGTACCTTCATATAGGCTACGTCCCTCGGGACTACAACCCACGCTTGCACACCAAAGACGCCATCAACTCCATGCGCCCTGGAGCCGTTGGGATCGTGCGCCCAAACAACGGTGATATTCTAGATTGGGACGAGAATAATCCCAAATCCTGGCCGTTGGTTGCGGTTGCAAAAATGTCCGAGACCGCGCAGGACGTCGTGCTTACTTTCGTGCTCCTAAATCCTAATTCCGATATTTGCACGCCTTACCAAATCTCCCACGACAAAATCTTCTACCTTGCGCCGTTTCGCAACAATGCAACCTCACTGAAAGATCGCCAACTGCAATGGAAGCAACTGGTTAAAAGGTACACCGCCGTTACGCAGCCCATACCCAACCCACAGACGAATGGCTCTCTCCTCACCAAATTCACCACTATCCCAGACTACGCTGATAACGGCGGACATTACGACGATGACAACTTCACCGATGCCGACGCGCAACAGCTATCCAAGGACCTCTTGCGGTTTGTCCCTCCGGTGCATTGCACTCCCATACAGCTCATCCATATACGTATGGGGCTGGTCGAATCTCGCACAACCATCAGCCAAAACAAGCTAAGCCCCTTCCTCCGTCAGGCATGTTACAAACTAGATCACCATGAAGAAGCATTTCGGGAAGGGGATATTCAATGTATTGATCTAGCTTACATTGTGGAGAAGGCAGCGGCTACGGTGGATAGGGTGTTGGGGGTGTAAATACTACCACAGGATGGATGTTGTTGTGATACCTATGTACTTGCACACATCGTTTATGGACGTGTGCGCAGGTGGAGTGCCTAGGCGAACGGCGCAAGTGGAGAGTTTATGTTGCTTGAGATGTTGTTTTAATCGTGATTAGAAAGGTTACTTGGAATTTCATTTTATTTTGATTCACAGGCTACTTGATACAGTTGATTGAACTCGCACAGAACAGAATATTGGGGCACGGGTTCGCGTGAGAGGGCATCTGTGGGTAAATAATCCCGCATTAGAATACTCCCAGTGGATAAAATGTTGATGGATTTCCCGTTGATATTGAGTTCATCGTTGTTTTCTTTGCCCATTTTCTCTTGTTTCTTCTTCTCATCTTCTTTCGCCTGAAATTCTCCCCATTCTCACCCAGAAAGATCAAGCCAGTTGGTTATACATCAAGCCCACTCAGTCCATAAGTCATTCAGCACCGAAACCTTATATTTCCAGGAGCATCTCACCTTCCTCCAGCTTTCGCAAGGACATCCTGAGAGTCAGACTACGCTCCGGCGCATCCTTGCCCCAAATGTCTTCTTCTACTTTGCTCCACTCGTCTCTCATCACATCCGTACCATTTGGAAGTGTAATGAGGGTTTTGATTTGGGCTCCAAGCGCTTGCATATCGAAGATGAGACGGATCCGGTCGCGTAGCTCATACACTGTATCATTCGGGTGAATCCTAATGCTTTTCTTCGCCTGGACTTTGCTGACAAGCCCTCGATGCTCTAAGGAGGTCCACAATTCGACTGCCCAAGGGACTTTGGAATGCGGATTCCACTCCACCGTGAGCGAATGCGACTTGTCCTCCAAGGGAGGTTGGAGATGGTTCCCAGAGGGAGGTGGCTGCATCCCGAGATGCTCAGCACTTGGGGATATAGTGTTTTCCGACGCCAGATGTTGGACGCCGGCGGCTTCGATTTCGCTAACGTTTTCAACCCTAGACTTCCCAAATCTCCTATCCCAGAGATCAGTGTACTGGACTGACAAGCTGATATACCTCAGCAGATTGTAGCATCGGTTGTAGCCCTCCAAAATACATTCACCACGTTCGGGGAATGGACCGAGGTTTGCAACAAGCTTTGTGGTATGCGTTATAGGAGGTGTTTTTCCCGTAAGCAGCTTGAATTCTTTCTCCACATTTTTGAGATCGGGTAGTTTTGACTGGAGATCTGTAAGACGGCGATATAGCTGAGCACTGGCGAGGGCAACACGCTGGAGTACGTGATCACTGCGCGTTGAATGCTGGTATTTGCTAACAGGATCCTCTTCTGATATGATCTCTTGTGGGTGATCTCGTAGGTAGTCGAGAACCATGCCTGGGTAAATATCCCATCTTTTCGGGCCGCCAGGGTAAACGACGTACAGGCTGTTAGTGAAAGCGTTGACGTACGCTTTTAACACTTGCGGAGTCATAGCAAAATTTCGTAATTCCTCTATCCCATCGAGCGAACAGTATTGGGACAGGTCTATCTCATGTCGATGAAGATCCACGAATGTGGTTGTGTTGTTAGGATCCCCGGGCTTCACGTCCTGATTGGCGGTGTGCTTGACCTTCTTCGTGGTAGGAGAACTCAGGCCATCTTTAGGGAAGACGAGCACACTCTTATCGCCGAGCACTTTAGTTGAAGGCGACCGTCCACGTTTCAACGTCGAATTTTGTGCCATGATTGGGAGGTGCTGCTCTCGGGTGTTTCGTGATCGACTTTGGTAGCTTGTGGGGAAAAGATCAGGTGGCGAGATTAGGGTATAAGCGGAATGGAAACCGGGGAGTGTTCATGACTTTTGGTGTTGAGGGTGCGAGAGAGAGAGAGAGAGAGAGAGAGAGAGAGAGAGAGAGAGAGAGAGAGAGAGAGTAGCGTGATCGAGGTTAGCGGCGAAGCACTAACCCAATAGGGTATAGGCTAGGAATTGTTGCATCAATTGGTTGATGTGACGGCGGAGATATTGAGAAACGACCTAGGTAAGGTACCTGAGTACTTATCCGGAGCTCTCTTGAGCTGCAACTAGTGCTCTCATAATGAGAAAGCGATACCTCTTATCCATGGGCACCTGCATATGTAAAAGAAATAGTGGTCATTGTACTCATGCAATTGCATATTAAACAGTCAAGACTTGCATACCAGTGTCCGGGAAATACAATAGTATTTTCAAGTCCAAAGTACTACCCACCCTGTTCGATTTTGGCATGTTATCCCGACTCTTGCCCAGCCTTGGCATTTGGAAGTGAATGTTCCGCATCACGTGATACTGGACCCAACAAATCAGTTTCCCCAGACAAAGCTTCCGACTCAACACTTGGCCTTGGCGCGAAATGCGTTTGCATCCGATCACCTACAAAA